CAATCTCAGATCTACCACACCCCCCCCCAAAAAAAAAAAAAAGAATTCAAAACCTCGGTGGGGGGTGGGGGGGAGGTATAGCCTTTCATTACACTAATCCTAGCGACTAAGTCATCTAATTTTTTTTTAGTTCAAAATTTATCTTAATGAAAGGTACAGCTTATAATTGTTTCACTTTGCCCACTTTTTCTTTTCTGGTGCTGGTATTTAGGACTAAAAATCAGCATCTGGGCGCTGTCCCCTTTGCTTTTGCTCAACGTGGGAGCTCTATCACTTGAACCTACTTTCTGTTTTTGGGTGCTTAATTGGAAATTAGAATCTCAAAATGTCTCAGAACTTTTCTATCTGGGCTGGCTTCAAATCATTATCTTCAAATCTCAGCCTCCTAAATAGGTAGGATTATAGGTTTGACCTACCAGCAGCACTTTATCTGGTTTTTTGTGTTTGTTTGTTTGGTCTTTTGTTTTTTGGTAGTGGGGATTGAACCCAGGATGTTGCACTTGTCAGGCAAGGGCTTGGTCACTGAGCTACATCCCAGCTCAAGCACTTTTTCTTTTAATTTTTGATAATGTCATTCTTTTAGATTTCCAATTGGGCCCAACACATTCAAGCCTCAGTACATTCTTCCTTGTAATTTCATAATCTCTCATTTGACACCCTAGTCATCCTACATCCTGTCACAATGTTATTGGGTATACAAAGAATCTTTGACTTTCTGTTTCTTTGGGAAGCTGGTAGTGCCATACCTGCTGTGAAATCTGGTGGTTTTAGGAATGTTTAGCATGTTTGAGCCTTGTAGCTTGGAAGCTATTTACATAAATTTCATATCCCTCAATATCCACAAGTCTGAGGCTATGGTCATCATCCTACCTTTATTCTCTGTTTTCCAGATAACTTTTACTGATTTATGCTGTTATTCTGGCTTCAAATAATAATCTTACACTAATCTATAAAATTGACTTATACTGTCTTTTTTGTTTCACTCTTAAAGCCTCTTTAATAATATTAAACAACTTTCATTTGATCATTATAGACTTTATCTTTTTATTTTTATTTTGAGATACACTAGCCAGGCTGGCCTCAGGCTAGTAATCCTCCCATTTCCACCTCTCAAGTACTGGTCACTATAGACATTTTTATTAAGCTTAATTTTTCTCTCCTTTATGACATAATTTTCTTACATTCTGAAACATAATGTACCCTTTCAAGATCTTGCCCATAAATAGTAGCTATTAACTGACAGTTTTCATGCTTCCATAGTTCTTTGGGAGTCTAATAGGTAGTTGTTGTATACTCCTTCCTGATGGTTATATTCTTCTGACTGAAACATTACGGAAACTGATTATCTTTTCTTCTATAGTGTTTCTTTTGGTTCTGTTGGGCAGTCCACTTAACTCCCAGTGCTACTTCCCTTAGAATGAATAGAGGTTGAGGGCTGTGTCCAGTGTCTCTTTTTTTTCCCTCATGCCAGGTCTTCAGTTTCATAGCTATTGTTTCATTCTGTGATCTCCCTTCCTCTCCCCTTCCCTTCCCTCCCCTCCCCTCTCGTGCGTGCGTGCGTGCGTGCGTGCGTGTGTATGTGTTATGATGGATTGAATTCAGCACATGATATCAAGTGCTCTACCACTTGAGATATATAACCAGCTCCCAGTTTTTCTTTCAATCACTTTCCAGGTCAGAAATCCTTTTTCCTTTCTGTTTTGTCCAGTGTTATTACTTAAATTGACACTCCTTGGTATTTTAAAATAAAGACTGTTGCCTTTGGCTTCCTTCTGGCCTTCTTTGGGAACACACCTTCTGAGAGGTGGATAAGTTGAGCATATTTCCTGGTCCTAATTGTATGATTTCCTATCTCAAGCCACCTGCTGGTTCCATGTTTTGTTTGGCTTTGCCCTCCTCAAAGGGTTTTCTTCTTATCTTTGATATACTAAAGATAGTAAGGAAGAATGCTAATTCATTAAATATTTATTGTCACACATTAGTCCATTTGATCTCCTTAATAGCTTTTTGGGATGTTGCTTTCAAATCTCATCCTAAACATTGGCGTTTTGTGAGACTTTCTAGCTTCAGTTTGGTTGGTACTCTCTTCTTTTACTCATTTAACACGGTGTATTCTTGTGTCGTCATTGCTTTCTGCAGCTGTGCTCCACGGGTCTTAACAACTCCCAAAGAAGGAGTTCAATAATATTATTGTTAGGGAATTACTTTTGTTCCAATATAATGGATGAAGAATTAGACATGGAAGTCAGATCTAAAACATTTATTAGTGAGGCACTGGTGGCTCACACCTGTAATCCTAGCTACTCAGGGGCTGAGATCTGAGGATTTTGGTTCAAAGCCAGTCCAGCAGGAAAGTCCATGAGACTCCTCCAACTTTAGAAAAAGCTGTAAGTAGAGCTATGGCTCAAGCAGGAGGGTGCTAGCTTTGAGCAAGAAAGCTCATGGCTAGTACTCTTCCACTTCCGCAGCTCCACTTCTGGCCCTTTTTGTAGTTTATTGGAAATAAGTCTCATGAACTTTCCTGCCCCGACTGGCTAGGAACCAACATCCTTAGATACTTAGCCTCCTGAGTAGCTAGGGTTACAGGTGTGAACCACTGGTGCCTGACATAATATTTAAAAAAAAAAGTGTGTGGGTATTTTAAAACAAATGAGATCTGTTACTGCTTAAGATTTTTTTATGTTTTCTTATTTCAAGACTTTAAAAAAAATTAGAAAAAAAAAAAAGATGGTTGCAGGGAAGAGTTGCTGTCATGACTCAGCTGGTAGATCACTAGCCAGTGAGGGAAAGCTAACAGGTTTGGATTCCAATCTCAGATCTACCACACACCCCCCCCAAAAAAAAAGGAGTTTAAAAAATGTTTAACTTTTCATTTATCCTCTCAAACCACTAACATGTAATGTATAATCATTTTCAGCCAGTTCAGTTAACAGTGAATCTTTAGATTAAAAGAAAAGAATAATTTTTGCTTCCATTTTAAAATTTTCAGTATTTTAATTTTCAATTGCTACTCTTAGTATGGTTACAAAATTCTGATTTTCTAAATGTTTGATATTTTGAAAGTATTTTCAAATAATTGTGTGGATATTCTTTATGCTGTAAAAAAATATGGAATTTTGTGTTAAAAATATACTTTCTAGCCAGGCATGGTGGTATACACCGTAATCCCAGTGTCTGGGAGGCTAAGGTAGGAGGATGATGAGCTAAAGGCCAGTCTCTGCTACATTGTGAAACTCTCAAAAAATAGATATTAAAGTTTCAGTTTGTGTTTTGCCATATTTAAAATTATTTTTAATGTTTTTATCTTAAAGGTGTTTCTTGTTCTTGTCCAAGGAACCAGTTTGATTCAGCGACTTATGTCTGTTGCTTATACATATGATAATCTGGCTCCTAGGTATGCATTTTTATTTTTATATGTAAATGTTACAGTAAGAATATGGTGTTTTAAAATTTAATTTTGAAAATTTGTAATTTAACCTAAATATTAAGATTGCATGACTATCACACCTTTCCTCTTGATTTTTATATATCGTTAACAGCTTGCCAAAATATATCATGCATTCATGAATTGTGTTGTAGTATGTCTTTTTCTGAATCTGAAGAGAATATGTTTCAGACTTAAAAATAATTTGATTTGGGTCTAGGCCATTTTGTTAATAACTAGAGTAAATATATTTCATTTTAAGACTGTATTGGTGTAGATTAATTATACAGGAGGGGTTTCATTGGACATTTCTGCACTTAGGCAGTTTAGATAGCCACCTTCAACCCGTCTTATCAGTCTTCTGTATTTTCCTCAGAGTAAAAAACTTAATTTACATAATCTGATATTGATATATTACGAGATAAATGCTCTTCACCTAAATTGTCCCGTTAATCTTTTTTTTTTTAATAATAGACTTTTAGCCATAAACAAGTGTTAGAATCTTATTTTTTATTTTTTAATCTGGCAGTACTGGGATTTGAGCTCAGAGCCTTGTACTTAGTCAACTTAGCTAGTTTTAAACTACTTAAGACATACCTCCAGCCTTGTTTTTCACCATTTTGTTTGTTTTGTTTTGTTTGTCATGGGGCTTGAACTCTGGGCCTGAGCGCTGTCCCTCAGCTCTTCAGCTCAAGGCTAGCACACTAGTACTTGAGCTACAGCGCTACTTCCAGTTTTTCTGGTGGTTTATTGGAGATAAGAGTTTCATGGACTTCCCTGCCCAGGCTGGCTTTGAACTGAGATCCTCAGATCTCAGCCTCCTGAGTAGCTAGGATTACAGGCGTGAGCCACTGGCGTGAGATAGGGCATCATTTCCTACCCAGGCACACTGTTGTATTGCAATGCCCCTAATTTGGGCTTCTTGTCATTGCTAGAATCACAAGGCACACACCACTGCATCCAGCATTTTTTCTAGATAGATGAAGTCTCTTGGGCTTATCTGCCTAGGCTATTTTTGATGCATGTATCTCCCAGTCTCAGCCTTCCAAGTAGCTGGGATTTTATCTACTGACATGAGGCCCTGTTGATATTACTTATAACTTTTTTTTTTAATCTAAGGTCACATATTTCCTTTAGTTGTCACACTTCCTTTCCTCAACAGAGACAGTTTTCTCAGCTTATTCATGATACTAGCATCTTGAATAGTGCGAGCTAATTCTTATTTTTCCAGGCCAGTTTTTTTTTTTTTTTTAATTTTTGCTGGTCCTGAGGCTTGAACTCTGGGCCTGGGTGCTGTCCAAAGGATAACACTCTTACCATTTGAGCCACAGCACCATTCCAGCTTTTTCTGAGTAGTTTATTAGAGATAAAAGTCTCAAAGACTCTTGCCTGGACTGGCTTTGAACCGAGGTTCAATCTTAGCTTCCTGAGTAGCTAGGATTACAGGGGTAAGTCACAAGTGCCTGGCTGGGGAAGAAGATGTTTTAAAACTGAATTATCTGCTTCTCACAAAACTGTTTTACAATATTCATTTACGATATTAGCTTTTACTGTTGAGTTGTTTCTTAAATATTAAAATGTATTCGTAAATGTTATCTTCCTATTACTGTTCATATTTATTAGTTGACATCTTGTTACTTGACACCCCTTTAACCCCATATGTTTAAGAAAAATGTAAACATCATATGATGCCATTTATTTGGGCCAGTTTGTAGTTTAAAATATAAAAAATGACTGGGCCCTGGTAGCATATTCCTGTAATCTTAGCTACTCAGAAGGGTGAAATTTGAGGGCTGAGGTTCAAAGCCACTCAGGGTAAGAAAGTCTGTGAGACTCTCATTCTAAATTAAACACCAAAAAGCTAGAAGTGGAGATGTGGCTAACGTGGTAGAGTGTTAGCCTTGGACACAAAATGCCAAACAAGAGTATGAGGACTTGAGTTTAAGCACTGGTATCAATCAGCACAGTAAACAGACAACAAATAATAAGTCTGTAAAATGTAAAGTAGTAGCTGATTGATACTTGACTTGGGCTTACTGTCAACTTACATAGTAGAATAAATTACATTAGTCTGTTACAAATTAATTCCATGTTTTCTGTACTTTTTTTCTTTCTTGTTGGTTGTGGGGCTTGAACTCAGGGCCTAGGCACTATCCCTAAGCCTTTTTGTGCTCAAGGCTATCTATCTACCACTTGAGCCACAGTGCCACTTCTAGTTTTTGAGTGGTTAATTGGAGATAAAAGTCTCATGGGAACTTTTCTACCCAAGCTGGCTTTGAACCTGATCCTCAGATCTCAGCCTCCTGAGTAGCTAGGATTAGAGGTGTGAGCCATGGTTGCCCAGCATATTCTATATTTTTATTTGACTAAACTTGGCTATTGTACCAAAATGATATCATAAAACTAGTGTAAGCATTACAATCTTTGCAATATTAGTTCACCTTTCTCAGTTTCTTTTGCTATCTGAGGTCCTACTCAGTGGCATAATGTTTTCATGTCTTCCCCTAAAGTAGCTACATTGAATGTTTTGCCTGTGTTATTAAAAATATTCTAATGATTCAACACTAAGTTTAAAAGATATGTGAGTATATGTTCCTTTTGGTAAAGTTAATTATATTGTACCATTATACAAAAAGGAACCATGAAATGTGGCCAAATGCTTTGTGTACATGAGCTACTTTTTATTACTTTAAACCTATAAAATGAATTTTGTTTGGTTTTGAGACAGGATCTCACTATATAATCTAGGTTTGCCTCATTTAAGATCCTCCTTCCCCCAATTGACTGAGTACTGAGATTATTGGCTAGCACAATTGAGTCCATCTGACTTTTGGAATTTGATAGCTACATTTTTAATTGCTACAAAATAGAAATTCTGCAGATTAGTGGATTATTTGTGAGGCAGATAATCCTTACATCTTGGTTTATGAAAATGAAAAATTTTCTTATTTAGTTTTCTAAGTTGAAGTAATAAATCTTCCATTGAAGTTATTTGAAGTATAATGGAAAAATACTTTTTTCCTTATACTCCTCTGAGGAAAAGTAGAAGTAATATACAGCTATGCATTTCTGTCTTACAAAAAATTTCTTTTGCTATTCCTGTTAAAAAATTGGCATTGTGGGAGGGGGGGCAGTAATGGGAAGGGATGGGAAGGGGAAACAAAGGAGGAGGCAACTATGCTTGATAAGAAATGTACTTATTATCTTCCCCATATAATTGTAACCCCTCTGTACGGTATTGTCTTTTTCTCTGGGTGGGGGGTTCTATTCATGGGGCCTGAACTCGGGGCCTGGGCGCTGTCCCTCAGCTCTTCAGCTCAAGGCTAGTGCTCTACCCCTTGAGCCATAGCGCCACTTCCGGCTTTTTTCTTTTCGCTTATGTGGTGCTGAGGAATTGAACCCAGGGCCTCATGCATGCAAGGCAAGCGCTCTACCACTGAGCCACCTTCCCAGCCCTTGTACGGTATTTTTACAATAAAAAAATAAAAGTAAAAAAAATTGGCATTATAAATATAGAAGGATATATATATATTTTTTTTTTTTGGTCGGTCGTGGGGCTTGAACTCTGGGCCTGGGCGCTGTCCCTCAGCTCTTCAGCTCAAGGCAAGCGCTCTACCACTTGAGCTACAGCGCCACTTCCGGTTTTCTGGTGGTTTATTGGAGATAGGAGTCTCACGGTCTTTCCTGCCCGGGCTGGCTTTGAACTGCGATCCTCAGATCTCAGCTTCCTGAGTAGCTAGGATTACAGGCGTGAGCCACCAGCACCCGGCTATAGAAGGATATTTTATGCCAACAATGGTGGGGTTTTTTTTGGGGGGGGGTGTGGTACTAGGATATGAACTTGGGACCTTATACTTGATAAGCCAATACTCTTAACCCTAGCGCTTTTTAAATTATTTCTCAGATATCTTATTTTTGATTGGGGCTAGCCTTTCATGGTGGCTACTTTGTGGAGATGGAGTCTCAGTAACTTCTTTTCTGGGCCAGCTTCAAAATTTGGACTTAACCTGTTCTGCCTTGGGAGAAGTTGGGATTACAGACATGTACCACCACGCCTATCTCCATGACTTTGTGCCAGTCCTGGGACTTGAACTCAGGGCATGGCCACTATTACTGAGCTTCTTTTGCTCAAGGCTGGCAGTCTACCACTTGAGCCACAACTCTATTTCTGGCTTTTTTTTTAACTAGTTAATTGAAGATAAGAATCTCATGGACTTTCCTATCCAGGCTAGCTTCAAACTAATCCTCAATTCTCAGACTCCTGAGTAGATAGGATAACAGGCATGAGCCACCAATACTGAGTCCCCATGACTTTTTTTCTTTTTCCTTTTTTTTTCTTTGTGAAAATACCATACAGCGGGGTTACAAATTTAGATGGGCAAGATAATGTCCCCATTTTTCGAGTTTAAACTCTAAACCAAGATAGCCTGTGCCTGTATTATACATCTCTTAACTGATGAGTCCTTTTGTGTATTCACTTTTATGTTGTATTTATTCATTTTATTTATGGAAACAACCATTCCTGTTCTCTCCATAAGTTTAATTTATTAGTTGTCATTATTGTTGATTTAATTTGTCGTGGTGGTATGTTTTTACTTCACAGAGTTTTGAAAGCTCAGACTGATCACAGATCTAGGCATGAAGGTAAGGGTTTCCCAAAATTTATTTTTAATAAATAAAATGGTAATAATAGATAGGACTTAAGTATATTTTTAAATATATATTTATGTATGTATTAAGTGCCAGTCTTGGGGCTAAAACCCAGAGCCTGGGCACTGTCCCTGAGCTATTTGCTTAAGGTTAGCACTCTACAATTGAGCTACATCTATACTTCTGGCATTTTGGGTGGTTAATTGTAGATAAGAGTTTAATGGAATTTTCTGCCTGGGCCATCTTCAAACCATTATCCTTATATCTCAGCCTCTTGAGTAGTTAGGATTACAAACATGAGCTACCAGTGCCCCACTGGTTGTGTGTGTTATAATGATGAGCATTGTACCTTCTTCTTAGCCCATACTATATAGTCATTGTTTTTTGTTTTTGTTTTGTTTTTCTTTGTATCTTTAGTTTCACATTATTCAATGTGGCTCCTGGTCAGCTGGGCCCATTGCTGTTCTTTAGTGAAATCTAGCCTTGCTGATAGTGATTATTTACAAGATTGGCTGAAAAAACTGACTCTCCTTATTCCTGAGGTAAGATACAGATTGAAGGTTAGTGCTTTTACTCTTCATACCTTTTTATACTTTTAGCATTATTAACTTAAAAAGACCAAATGGGGGCTGGGAAGGTGGCTCAGTGGTAGAGCGCTTGCCTTGCACTCATGAGGCCCTGGGTTCGATTCCTCAGCACCACATAAGCAAAAAGAAAAAAGCCGGAAGTGGCGCTGTGGCTCAAGTGGTAGAGCACTAGCTTTGAGCTGAAGAGCTGAGGGACAGCGCCCAGGCCCAGAGTTCAGGCCCTACTACCAGACCCAAAATAATAAAAAATAAAAGACCAAATGGGAGTGAATATTCATAATTCTATAAATAATTCACATTATCTAGTTCTTTTCAGTCTATCACATTTGGTGTAAGGTGTAATATTGCAGAAATGTAAATGTTAAATTACTTATGTTTGTCCTTTTCTGAAAGACACATGCTTTAGATTTATTTTTAATTGCCTTTTCCAGGAGCTGGTAATATAGCTCAGTAGTAAAAATATGTATCTAGCCTGCAGTAAACCCTGAGTTTTTTGTTTCCCCCTTCCCCCCCCCCCCCAGGGGCTAGATGTAGAGCTCAGTGGTAAAATGCTTACCTAGCCTGAACTAAACCCTGAGTTTGATGTCTCAACGCCCCCCCTTTTTTGTAAATATTTTCTTTTCTGGAGAATTAAGGTTTGAACTAAAGGCTTCATGCTTGCTAGGCAGGCAATATACCACTTGAGTTATACCTCCCAGCTCTTACTGTGTATTAAATATCTTAGTTGTACAAGGGAGTTTTTATATCCTTCACATAGATACAATGAACCTTAAACTCACCCTTCTCCTGCTCATTCTTTTTCACCTTTAAAATAGTTTTAACAAGGTCTGGTCTTCCCCTTTCCTTTCCCCTTCCCTTTTCCCTCATCTTCCCTCTTCCCTTTTCTTTCTCCCCCTCCACTCCCCTCTCCTCCTCTCTTCTCCTCCCCTCCTCCTTTCCTCTCCTCCCTTTCTCCCCCTTCCCCTCCTGTCCGCTTTTCTCCTTCTTCCTCTACCTTCCCTCTCCTTCTTTCTCTCCCTTTCTTCTCTCACCCTTCTTCTCTCTCCTGTTTTCTTGTACTGGAACCAAGACTTGAACTCAGGGCTCCACACTCATTCTGCATTTTCACTTATGTCTAGTGTTCTTCTACCTCAACTACACATCCAGTTTCTTTTTTGTTGGTTAATTAAAGATAAGAGTCTCTCAGACTTCTCTGCTCGATTGGATTCAAATTGAAATCTTTAGATCTCAGCCTCCTGAGTAGCTAGGATTATAGGTGTAAGGCAGCAGCACCTGCCCTTCCTTGTTAAATATACATATTTTTTTACATGCACATAAGACCATATTTGCCCTCGTTCACCCACTCTCTTAGTCCCCCCCACTCTTGCCTCTACCAGTCCCCTTGAAATAACCTGTTTTTACTTTCCTGTCTTTTTTTCATGTATTATACAAAGGAGTTGTTCCATGGTAATTCATATGCGCTTATATTTAACCAGACTAATTTTATCTGTTGCTTTCTTTTCCCAATAGTTCGTCTTGTTACTTATTTCTTGGTATGAATATCCTTTCTTTCATCCCTTTTCATAGTTTTGTTTTATGTTTATGTGGTTATCTGTTTTTGTGGCCATACTTAGAACTTTCTGGAAAAATAAATGTGTGTATTATAGCATATTTTGTGATACACATTATATGATCATAGTGTTTTTACATTAGTATAGACATAAGAATTTTATGTGTAAAATACATTAATGTAGCTGGGAATGTAGCTCTGTGGTAAGCATGTTTCCCTGAATACACAACTTCCTAGTTTTTATAACCAGCATTAAAACTTTTAGCTAAAGAAGGTGAATGGACATGTTGAATGGTAACCCCTTTGTACAGCTACTTCAAGATAGATACCTTAACTTAAAAAAAAAAAAAAAGCTAGATGGTTGTGGCTTAAGCCTGTAGTCCTAGCAGCTCCAGAGGCTAAGCTCTGACAAATCATGGTTTGAAATGAGTCCAGGCAGGAAAGACAATGAGACTCTTTTCATTAATTAACCAGCAAAAGGCTGGAAGTAGAGCTTTGCCTCAACTCGTAGAGCACTAGCCTTGAGCAAAAAAGCTTAGTCTGAGTTCAAGCCCCAGACCTGGCATGAGAGAGAGAAGAGAGTAAGATGGCTGAGAAGGTGGCTCAGTGGTAGAGTGCTTGCCTTGCATGCATAAGGCCCTGGGTTCGATTCCTCAGCACCACATAAGAAAAAAGAAAAAAAAAGCTAGAAGTGGCATTGTGGCTCAAGTGGTAGAATGCTAGCCTTGAGCTGAAGAGGTGAGGGACGGTGCCCAGGCCCAGAGTTCAGTTCACAACTGACCAAAAATAGAAAAAAGAGTGAGAGAATCACACTTTTAACTCTACTGTGAATTTTTGCATTTGTGTGTATTTTTTGTATGTATTTTTAAAGCACTTAAAATGTTTCTTTTTAAAGAAAAACAGCTGAAGAAGTCAGTTTACATTCATTTGTGCTAACATAACTAAATTAGCTTTTCTTCTTCTTCTGATAGTGATCAAACCCAGAGTGTTGTACATGCTAAGCAAGTGCTTTACCTCTTAATTGCATCCCTAGCCCAGTACAAGCTTTTTTTATACTAACTCAGACTGACTGTGGAACTTGCTTTTTCTCACTTAGACTGCAGTTCGTCATGAATCTTGCAATGGTCTCTATAAGTTATCTCTGTCAGGCCTAGATGGAGGAGACTCAATCCATCGCTCTTTTCTTCTTTTGGCTGCCTCAACATTGTTGAAATTTCTTCCTGATGCTCAAGCACTCAAACCTATCAGGGTAAGGTTTTACTATGTTTAGCAGTGATTTCTATTTTTGTAATTTTTTTCCTCCATATATAATTTTGTACTGTATCCTTGAGATTATTCCCTATAGTTCTACCCTAGAAGATAATAGTCGTAGTTCTTAAAGTGACAACATTGTGACATGGTGTGCATTATACAACTAGTAAAAGAATCAGTTTGTGTTTATTTCAAGTCTGTGTGCATGCACTAGTAAGATGTTTCAAAAATAGTGCCTTTGGTTAATGAGTTTATGATGGTGTAAAAATACCATAAGTGGAGTTCTTTTCCATTCATTTATATCACTTTTTAAAGATACTTATGAGTTACGAATATTTTGTTTGCCCATTGTGTATATTGTCCTTGTAAAGGTATCTACCACACGATAAATCCAGAAACCATTAAAAAATACTGTGTGTTATAGGCTTTGCATGATCTCCCTTTTTACTTGTATCCTTCCAAGTATAAGTAATTTTGAAACCTTTTCTAGTCGTCTTGATTTTACTCATTGATGTACACAACTATTCTGATTTTATACAAAGTAGAATTATACTCATTTTTGTTAGATTTTTTGAAGCTGTTTAATGTGTTACTTAAGTTTATCTTAAAATGTTGTAACAAAGTATATTTTTTTAATAGATAGATGATTATGAGGAAGAACCAATGTTAAAACCTGGATGCAAAGAATATTTTTGGTTGCTGTGCAAATTAGTTGATAACATACATATAAAGGATGCTAGTCAGGTATGTTCAAAATTATACACTAATTTGTTAATATACATTAATTTTACACAGTTTATGATTTTATTAGTCCTTACAGTTAAAACGACTTATTTATAATTAGTTGGTACTATCATATTTTTTGCTTTATTTGTACTTTTCTGGTGTGCTCTTTCTATTTTTACTTTTACCTTAACTGTCAACTAGATTTATGATTATAAAACCTTATTTGAAAAGTAAAATTTAGATTGAAGTTTAAATATATAGTTCTTTATAAGAGCATACGGATTTGGAGTCTTGAATGGGTAAAAGAAAGTTGAAATTATTTTAAGCTAAAGAAACACTAGTTCTGATCACTAAAGATAAACTTGTAACATAGACTTTTTAATTTTCTTTATATTAACTTAGGGTGTAATATATCAGTGGTAATTTCAAAAAATTAGAGTATATGATGAGGGTCTGTTTAAATAGGGAACACACTAAAAAATTTTTATAATTAGTCACTTCATAATGTACAAATTTGACATTAAAAATTGGCCAGGTCTGGGAAGGTGGCTCAGTAGTAGAGCGCTTGCCTTGCATGCATGAGGCCCTGGGTTTGATTCCTCGGCACCACATGAGCAAAAAGAAAAAAAAAAAAGCGCAAGTGGCGCTATGGCTCAAGTGGTAGAGCGCTAGCCTTGAGCTGAAGAGCTGAGGGACAGCACCCAGGCCCAGAGTTCAGGCTCCATAACTGGACTTCCTCCCCCACTCCCCGCCAAAAAAAAAAAAAAAGAGTCATGGAGTTTCCTGCCTGGGATGGCTTTGAACTGTGATCCTCAAATCGCAGCCTTCTGAGTAGCTAGGATTACAGGCGTGAGCCACCAGTGTCTGGCTGGATTGTAAATTTTATATTTAAAGGTTTATTTAAGTGTGTTGAGTATTTGAAATAATAACCATACTAAACAAATGTGTAGTTATCTTGTTGCCCTGCTGATAGCACTTTTGTCATTTCCCTCATTAAGGTAATTAATTGTGGTTTGGAGTTTGTTATCTCAAGGCTACTGGTTGAGTTAAAAAATTTGCGAATAATTTTCGGTTGTGGCCATTCCCAACCCCCCTCCGACAATGACAGCCTTTGGTCCCTAGGTACTGTTGTTCCTGCCTCAGGTCCTGGTGGGGCCATAGCCCACTAAGGAGGAACTTGGCCTCTGCTTTGGAAACACTTATTCCTGTCATAACAAATTTTAAAACAACAACAACAACAGTGTTTCTTTGATTTAAAAAAAAAAATCATTAGCCAAGCCAGGCACTGGTGGTTCCTGCCTGTAATACTCATTACTTGGGGGACAGAGATCAGAGCATCCTGGTTTGAAAGTCAGCTAATGTAGGAAAGTCTTTGTGACTATTTCCAGTTAGCCACCAAAAAATCTGAAAGTGAAGCTGTGGCTCAAATGGTAGAGCATCTACCTTGAGCAATGAAAAACAAAAACAAAACCCATAAGGAACAATGATCAGGTCCTGGGTACTGGCTCAAAGAAAAAAAAGTAGCCAAAAGAATAATACAATGATTATATGAGCATAGACTATACACACAAGATTATTTACTAGCTTTGCTTTGGTACTAAGATCTCTGGACTTTACACTTGCCAGAGAGGTGTTCTTGAGCCACATCTCCAGTCCTTTTGGCTTTTTCTCCTTGCTTTTTTTTTTTTCTTCTGATTTTTCTCCTTGCTTTCCCTTTCCGTTCCCTTTTCCTTTCCCTTTTCCTTTGTTATCCCCTTTCTTTCCTCCTCTTCACCCCCCCCCTTTTTTATCACTATGTTTAAGATCTTGTACTTGCTAGTCTGGTGCAATACCACTGGGCCAACACTTCTGCCCTTTCTCCCACCTGCACCTTAGCCATGAACACCACATACTTTTAAGCTTCCTATTGTTACTTCTATTCCAGTTGTATACCACTGCATCCATCTTCCCTTTTTACAGAGTTTCTGTGGCTTTTTATTTAAACTGGCCTGGCACCACTATCCTCTTAATCTCAGCCTTACTTATAGCTTGGAATGACAGATGCATTACATTATACCCACCTGTGGGTTGTGAAGGGCTCTCATCAGCTTTTCTGCCCAGATTAGTCTAACTGTGATCCTCCTATTTTCACTTTCCCATGTAGCTAGGTGTTTTCAATTAGCGCTCAGCCTTGTGTTCATTTTTGAGATATATTTCTACTTTTTACCTTGGGCCTTGATCCTCCTATTTACACTTCCTACCAGAGCTGGGATATCAAGTATACACAACCACACCAGCCTTTTTTACTTTGTGTTTCATATTATGTACTTGAGCCATAAGGTAATACTTTTGTAGAAGTGCTGGGATTATTAAATGTATTTTAATTGTTTTGATTCCATGGGTACCTTTGTCATACCTGTAATCCTACCTTGCTTAAGGAGGATGAGATCTGAAGATCATGGTTCAGAGCCAGCCCAGGAATAGTCTTGCCTCCAACTAACCAACAAAATGCCAGAAGTGGAGCTGTGGCTCAAGTACTAGAGTGCCAAACTTGAGTAAAAATCTAAAGGATCACATCCAGGCCTGTAGTTCAAGCCCTAGGCAAACACGCACGCACACACGCGCACACGCGCGCACACACACCCCTCATTTTAGCATGCTTTACCAATCCAGTATTTCTGATAAAAGGTCTTTGCCAAAATACTGAGGCTATTTAGCTCATTTAGTTTATAAATCTAAACTAATTGGCAATGATGGTTCATTATTAGCTTAGCTCTTAGCTAATTCTAACTTTATTTGAATGAATGCTGACTTTATTTTCCAAAGAAAGTAAATGTGTTGCTTTTGTGTCTCCTTAATTTTCGCATTTTCAAATTATAAAGTAAAAGTCCTACCATCATTGGTTCAGTTACATGAAATAATCCCCTAATCATTTGCATTATTTATTATTCAAACTTTTCTTAGCTGGGCGCTAGTGGTTCACGCCTATAATCCTAGCTGAGATCTGAGTTATAATGTGCTTTGACAATAGTGAGATGGAAGGATAAAGGTCAATAATGGCAAGGTATTTTAAATTACCTTTTTTAGAAGGTAGACTCCGAGGGCTTCTTTTTGTTCTCAGTTCCTTTGGCAACTTCTGGGTTTAATGATTGGTTCTCTCTGCTCCCAGGACTCAGCATATAGGTGTACTCATGGCTGATATTTGTTGCAGTGAAATAATAGAAAAAGGTACAAAGGAAACTAAATTTCCTAGTGTCTTCTCCCAATGAAGTTATGAAAGGCATGCTTAAATCTCTCAACAGTTAGTGTAGATAAGTATGTGAGTGTTGTTCACTAGGTAAACACTCGAGTCTAGAGTCCAGTTTTTTTGTCATAGGTTCGGTTTACAGGTACATATGCCCATATAATTGACTACAGTCAATAAATACTACATTTCAAAAGAAAAACATGTTTGGCATAAACTGCATTCAGTTATGCACAATAAGCCACTTTTGTTACTTAAGTTTTATATCAGTATAGGAACTGTTTACCACACAAGTTTCCAGACCACAATGAGGGGCAGTGTTACTAAGGGTAAGTATATATCAGCTTTACTACATGATCTGTTTTCTACACAGTACTCGAGGAGCTTTTGTACCTCCAGCAACTACTTTAGGCTGAATGAAGCTAGCCTTGAGCTGAAGAGTTGAGGGATAGTGCCCAGGCCCAGAGTTCAGGCCCCACAACTGACAAAAATAAAATAACTAACACAGAAAGGGCTGGCAGCACCTGCCTTCAAACTCCAAGATAATAATAATTTTTTAAAAAGTGTTTAAATCTCACAGTAAATCTTTTAGTTCACTTTGAATTTCACTGTTACAGAGGTTAAATACAAGTGTGGTGATTTGAATATTGACTCTGGCACCTGTGAACTTTATGTCTGGCAAGATTTTAATTGCTTTGCTTTTTCTTTCAGCAGTTTCCTAGCATTTAACAGTGGTCATTGTGAATGGTTTGTTACTTTTGCTCTTATTGCCACTAATTAAATGCAGAAGCACTTGTAGGACTTGTAGACAGTCAAGAGAAGGAGTAACAAGACTTTTCCAAACCTTTTTTTTTTTTTTGGGTCCGGTCATGGGCCTGAACTCTGGGCCTGGGCGCTGTCCCTCAGCTCTTCAGCTCAAGGCTAGCGCTCTACCACTTGAGCCACAACGCCACTTCCGGCTTTTTTCTTTTTGCTTATGTGGTGCTGAGGAATCGAACCCAGGGCCTCAGGCATGCAAGGCTAGCGCTCTACCACTGAGCCACCTTCCCAGACCCTTTTTCAAAACCTTTTAATCACGTAATTCAGTAGAAAAAAATAACATTGTACATGGATAATCTGTAAAAATGAGCAGTTCGGTTCCATTATCTTTAGCTGAAAAGTACTTTGGCAAGACTTATAATGGTGTTGATGCTGCTTTAACTTTTTGAATAGTCTTAGCAAATTGTAGTTCTGTTTTATTGTTGTACATTATTAGCAAATGTAATTAACATCCAGTTTAAATAACATACCTGAATTTCCTCTTTTTTCTTTCTAGGAGTTTTTAAGAGATATCTTCAATCTCTTGTTTTTATTGCCCAGTCTCAAAGATAGACAACAGCCAAAATGCAAATCACATTCTTCGAGAGCAGCTGCTTATGATTTGTTAGTAGAAATGGTGAAGGGTTCTGTTGAAAACTACAGGCTAATACACAACTGGGTTATGGCACAACACATGCAGTGTAAGTATTCTTTTGTCTTTTTTTTTTTTTTTTTACAAATTTGAATACAGAAAGGAGATCTTGGGTATTAACTGCTTTTTAAGCAATACTTTTTTATTATTTATTTTTTTGGGGGGGTCCGGTCATGGGCCTGAACTCTGGGCCTGGGTGCTGTCCCTCAGCTCTTCAGCTCAAGGCTAGCGCTCTACCACTTGAGCCACAACGCTTTTTTCTTTTTTGCTTATGTGGTGCTGAGGAATCAAACCCAGGGCCTCAGGCATGCAAGGCAAGCGCTCTACCACTGAGCCACCTTCCCAGCCCAGCAATACGTTTTTAAAGTATCCACTTTTTATTGACTTTAACATTATTAACCACTGTTGATAGGATATTTAAGTTAAAGAGTAAACACTAGCTTTTAATAAAATGAAAACCTCTTAATAGCTACTCTGAATATGTTGGCTTTTTTGTAAAGTGATTTAGTAGTAATCAGTAGTAATAAATTCAGTAGTAATGAATAGTTTAATGATTCATTTTGGCAAGGTAGTAAAATGTTATTACCAAATAATAAATTATTTACTGCCAATAAATATTATCAATACCAGTATTATTATAATCTTAATAGTAATGCATTTGCCAATTATTAATACTACCAAGTAATTTTACCCATCATTTGGTCAAAAAAAATTGCTACTAAATTAATACTTCCAAGGTTGATAGTTCTTTGAATATATAAAAATATATTCTTATCTGATTTTAAAAGTCACTATGTATAATGCTGTATATGCATTGGTTACTGGAGGTATATTTGTTAATTTAAAGCTAAATACATTGCTTAATAATTTGTTTGGGGGCATCTTTTTCTCCCTCTTTCTTCAGCAGCCCATGCACCTTATAAGTGGGACTATTGGCCTCATGAGGATGTTCGTGCAGAATGTAGATTTGTTGGCCTGACTAACCTTGGAGCTACTTGTTACTTGGCTTCCACTATTCAACAACTGTATATGATTCCTGAAGCAAGACAGGCTGTCTTTACTGCTAAGGTAGAGTTTTCTTCACCTTAAAAATTGAAACTGTAGCCGGGCACCGGTGGCTCACGCCTGTAATCCTAGCTACTCAGGAGGCTGAGATCTGAGGATCGCAGTTCAAAGTCAGGCCGGGCAGGAAAGTCCGTGAGATTCTTATCTCCAATAAACCACTAGAAAACCGAAAGTGGTGCTGTGGCTCAAGCGGTAGAGCACTCACCTTGAGCTGAAGAGTTCAGGGACAGTGCCCAAGCCCAGAGTTCAAGCCCCACAACCAACAAAAAAAGAAAAGAAAAAAAATGAAACTGTAGCCAGGTACCAGTAGCTAAACACCAGTAGTTCATTCCTATAATCTTACCTATTCATGAGGTTGAAATCTATAAAGAACACTATTAAAGCCAACTTGGACAGGAAAGTCTTATGAAATGCTTATCTTCAATTAACTAGCCAAAGGCACTTGAGCTATGGCCCAATTGGTAGAACCCTAGCCTTCAATGGAAAAATTCAAGGAGGGGCTGGGAAGGTAGCTCAGTGGTAGAGCGTTTGCCTCACATGCATGAGGCCCTGGGTTCGATTCCTCAGCACCACATAAGCAGAAAAAAAAAGCTGGAAGTGGCGCTGTGGCTCAAGTGGTAGAGCGCTAGCCTTGAGGTGAAGAGCTGAGGGATAGCGCCCAGGCACAGAGTTCAGGCCCCACAGCTGACTAAAAATTTAAAAAAAAAAAAAAAAGAAAGTTCAGGACAATGCTTAGGCCCTGAGTTCGAGCCCCAGTACTGGCGCACACACACAAATTGAAACTAAAATTCTAGACCGAATTTAGAATTTTTGTTTATGTCCTAATTTGACATATAAAATATTGTTTTGAAAAAGAAATATGTGAGTAAAAATGAGAAAGTTTAATTACATAAAATAGGTAATTTGATTATTTTTATTTTATATTTTAGATAATATTGCAATATTTCTGAAAGAAAACCACTAGAGGGCCATAAATACTCAGTATATACAGTAATTATTTTATTTGTAATAAAATTTTAACTCTACAACAATACCCTGTGACTAGTTATGAATGGCATTTTTGTTTAATACAATGCTTTTAGGGTTTCCCTGTATCATACCATGTATTAGAATTTCCTTCTTATAGCTGAATAATTCCAATATATATTTGTGTGTTTCAAATACATGCTACAAGGCTGGGAAGGTGGCTCAGTGGTAGAGCGCTTGCCTTGCATGCATGAGGCCCTGGGTTCAATTCCTCAGCACCACATAAGCAAAAAAGAAAAAACCCAGAAGTGGCGTTGTGGCTCAAGTGGTAGAGCGCTAGCCTTGAGCTGAAGATCTGAGGGACAGCGCCCAGGCCCAGAGTTCAGGCCCCACGACCGGACCCAAAAAAACAAATACATGCTACATTTTGTTAATTCATCTTTTGAAACACATGGGTTGTTCTGACTTTTCTGAATAATGCAGTTATAAACTTGTAGTGCTGTTTTAAACATGGGTGTATAAATATATGCTTTAGTCTTTACATTTACTTCTTTGGGGCATATACCCCTAAGTGTAATGCTTGTCTATATGTCTGTCTATACTTGTGCATGAACATGCTGGTACTGAGGCTTGAACTTAGGGCCTCAGATATATCCCTTAGCTTTTTTGCTCTAAGTGTGGGCTCTGCTGCTTGAGCCACAGCTCTACTTTTGGCTTTTTGATGTTAGTTGGAGATAAGAGTCTAATGAACTGTCCTTCACTGGCTGGCTTTGAATCGGGAGTCTCAGGTCTGTTTCCTGATTATCTAGGATTACAGGCATGAACTATCAGTGTTTGGCTTCTGTTTAATTTTTTGAGGATGTACATTTTCTACTTCCACAATATTCTTATTGTACTATTAAGTAATTTTGTTGTATATGATAAGCCGATCTCTATTTGTTTTTATTTTGTGAACTTATTTGATTACAAGTTACTGAGCAGCAGGCCATGCACGTTATTTGTACTCCCCACAAGATTGGAACAGATAACTGGTATATATACTACTGGCAGTTAGGAGGTTTAATATTCCATTAAGTCTTCGGTATATTTATCCAAGTTCCTCAGTCAGAGTTACTGCATTTCAATAGACGATTTTCAAACATCATAGCTGTTATTTCTCTTCAGTGCCAAGAATGTACTATCTCACAACTAGCTAGAAATAGGATTGTATGAGGATGAAATAATAGGTGTCTCAAATGAATTTTTTCCATGTATGTTTCTTTTGTGTTTTAGTTTTTTTGATGATACTGGCATTTAAACTCATACCTTCTGCTTGCTAAGCAAGCACTCTACCATTAGTACCATACTTCAGCACTCGTGTGTTTTTTTTTTTTATTGTATGCATTTTGTAGGAAGTGATGTATTACATACTTGGATGTTTTTCGTTCTTGTCAATATTATACCAAATGAGTGTTGATATAGAAAATGATTTTTTAAGTTCTCTTTATAGTTTCCTAAAATAATAGAGGTCACTATATTTATTGTCATAAAGAAAAGCTATTTGAATTTTTAATCCTATAATTTCTAAAAGAATAAAATGTAGGGCTGGGAAGGTGGCTCAGTGGTAGAGCGCTTTCCTTGCATGCCTGAGGCCCTGGGTTCGATTCCTCAGCACCACATAAGCAAAAAGAAAAAAGCTGGAAGTGGGGCTGTGGCTCAAGTGGTAGAGCGCTAGCCTTGAGCTGAAGAGCTGAGGGACAGCGCCCAGGCCCACAGTTCAGGCCCCACGACTGGACCCCCCCCCAAAAAAAGAATAAAATGTAAAGATATATTTTCTATTAGAGATAAAAATTAAAAAAATAGTTTAAGCACATCGCAAGATTTTGTTTGCTAGAATTTCCATTTTACCACTGTATATATGTTCTGACAGAAAGTTTTCTCTTGATTTTTAGTATTCAGAAGATATGAAGCACAAAACTACTCTTCTGGAGCTTCAGAAAATGTTTACATATTTAATGGTATGTTTGAGAGTCGTGGAAAGGATACTAACTATATATATATCCTTTAACAAAACTAAGAACTGTCACATGTACTGGCTTTCTTACAGCTTGATGTACTATTGGTGTTTTTTTTAATATATTTTTATTGTGAAAATACTGTACAGAGGGGTTACAATCACATGGGTAAGATAATGAGCACATTTCTTATCAAGCATTGTCGCCTCCTGCTTTGTTTCCCCTTCCCATCCCTTCGTATCCTCCCCCCCCCCCCCTGCAGCCCCCCCACTAAAGTTGTAAAGTTCGTTTTTCAACATAACGACTTGTGCATCTCATTGTTGCAATGGGTCCTCCTGTATCCCTGTTTTAACAATTTTTTTCCCTTCCCCTCCACATATACTAACATATATAGTGAAAGCAGGGGTTTGTACTATTGGTTTTTAAATTGAGCTTTTTAATTACCTGTCTTCTTCAGCTTCAGCCATGTCTCCAGCACTGGTATTTTCTGATTATTTTAGATACCCAGACTTTACTGCTCAGGCTGTCTTTGAATCTCAGTATTTCAGCCTCCTGAGTAACTAGGATTATAGTCATGAGCCACCAGCACCTAGTTATGTCATAAGGTCTTTTTTTTTTTTTTTTTCAGGTAAGGGGTAGGTTTATTCAGTAAACCTGCTGGGACCAGGCAAGGTTGGCACTCCACACGGCTGGGAAAGGCCTAGGAAAGAGAGAGAAAAGAGCTAGAAAAGAGCAGCGAGAGCAGAGAGCTAGAAACAGAGAGCTAGAATAGAACAGAGAGAGCAGAGAGCTAGAAATGAACAGAGAGAGAGAGCTAGAAAAATGCCGAGAGCAGAGAGAGCTAGAAAAGAACAGAGAGCAGAGAGCTAGAAAAGAGCAGCGAGAGAGCGTCTGGGCCTGTGCTAGGCCTTATCTAGGGTATGGGTGGGGAAAGGTGTGGCCACATCAAATTCAGATGTGACCTCAATGGATGCAGATATAACCTCTTCCAGGTGTCCCAGTTGCCTAGGTAACGCAGGTAGTGAGTGGAGACTTTGCTGTGAGGAGGGTGGAGTCTGCTGGCCATCCAGGAGCTAACCTTACATTCCAGCCTTTTAATAATCATGAAATAGGGCAAGGATTCTCTCTGGCTACTTCCTGCTGACAAGGGGTGTCGACAATAGGGGTAAAAGGCTGGAATTTGGTCTCCTCCCAGAGAAGGCAGTGAGCAGCAGCTGTCCCTTGGTAGCGTGAGTCCTTACATGAAGTCTGGAGAAGTCTCATGAGCATTGAGGGGCTGAAAAAAAAATACAGAGTAGAGAAGTGGTGTGGACGTGGATGTGAAGGCAGCAATGGTATCCATGCGCTGTTTCCGCCGCAGACAGACTGGTTCGCAAAAGGCCGTCAGAACTGTGGGTATTCCTCAAAGCAAAAAGGGAAAAAACAGAAAAAGAAAAAAGAGGGAAAAAAAAGAGGAATCCCAGCTATCCTGACTTTAAGCCCTTTATCCGAGTCACGGCACCATTTATGTTAGGTTTTTAAAAAAAGGTAGCCGCAGCACCAGCACGCACATGGTATTCAGGTAAGGGGTAGGTATTCAGTAGACCTGCTGGGTCCAGGCAAGGTTGGCACTCCACACAGCTGGAAAAGGCCTGGGAATGAGAGAGAGCTGGGAAAGAGAGGAAAGAGCTAGAAGAGAACAGAGAGAGCAGAGAGAGAGAGAGCAGAGAGGAACAGAGAGGGAGAGAGATGTCATAAGATCTTACTGGTCATATCCCAGTTATCTATATTCTGTTAACTTACTCTTTGATAATACTTTGTATCTGGTCTTTGTCCCTCATAATTCTCATTCTTCAAACTATCAACACAATCAATTTTAAGAAGATAGAAAATCTGGGGCTGGGAAGGTGACTCAAGTAGTAGAGTGCTTGCCTTGTGTGGGTTCGATTCCTCAGCACCACATAAGCAGAAATGGCCAGAAGTGGTGCCTACAATCTGGCATTTTACTGGTTACTTAGAAATAAGATTCTAAAATATTTTTCTGGGGCTGGGAAGGTGGCTCAGTGGTAGAGCGCTTGCCTTGCATGCATGAGGCCCTGGGTTTGATTCCTCAGCACCGCATAAGCAAAAAGAAAAAAGCCGGAAGTGGCGCTGTGGCTCAAGTGGTAGAGTGCTAGCCTTGAGCTGAAGAGCTGAGGGACAGCGC